GTGCTTCTGGGCTTTGGTAGTGGGGTTCCTAATCTGAGAAGGCACGTTGGAACAGCCAGGTTTTCAGGTTCTTTCTGAAGACTGCCAATGTAGGGGCCTGTCTGAGATCTTTCGGGAGGGCATTCCAGAGGCGGGGGGCCACCACAGAGAAGGCCCTGTCCCGCGTCCCCACCAAACGCGCCTGCGACGCGGGCGGGATCACGAGCAGGGCCTCTCCTGATGACCGGAGTGAGCGTGTGGGTTCGTAGACTGTGGTGCGGTCTCGCAGGTAGGGTGGTCCCAAATCACCCTACCTCCCTTGTGCCCACTTTGGCCAGTGAAGCCTCGCTCCCCCGAAGGCAGACGGGCCAGTGGGGTGAGGGCTCTGCGTCCCCTCGCTTAGCAACGAGAGGGAGGCAGAGCTGTTAGGAAACAACAGCCAACACCACCCGAGTGAGCACCTCCGTGGCAATGTCCAGTCGGGGCCCATGGGCATGGCGACAGCGTCTCTGCCTCGAGCTGTCATGCAGGTCAAGGTAGCGCATTCCACGCTATGACGATGCTCGTGACCAGAGGCGGCCCTAGGTAATTTTCAACGGTAAGCACCTCTCTTAGGTTCATACTACTTAAGGTTCCTCAGCACTGAAACCCAAGGATTCAAACCTGTCTCTTCAACTACGGCCAAGTAACCAAACACAGAGAAATGATTATAGCGGGAAAACATGAATCTGGAAGTCAGTACTGCTCATGAGGCTGTTCTTAAACTCAAGGCAAACCGGGCTTGTGAAGGCCACCTGAATCAGGGTAGTGTTTATTATAATCCGAATCTCTGATCACTGACTCCCAAAACAGTTACCATAATTTATCCCCAACTTCAGAAAGGAAAATGGAATGTCAGTGGACAATAAAAGAAATCTGAAGATGGGCTGAACACTAAAGCAGAGGCGACCCTAAGTAATTTTCAGTGGTAAGCAAACAGTATTTTGGCGCCCTCCCCCCAACCAATCATTGATATATATTTTCTGTTCGTCGTGGGAGTTCTGTGTGGCCATATTTGGTTCAATTCCATCATTGGTAGAGTTCAGAATGCTCTTTGATTGTAGGTGAACTATACATCCC